CTTGGTAATCATATACTTGAGTTGGACATAGGCATGTGTCAGTCAGGATCACTTGCATCAAAATAGCTTAATTGCAAATTAAAGCTGATGATGTATCTTTTACAGGTATGTGATACCATCCTGAGTCATGCCAAAGAGAGGTTCTCCTTCACCCAGCACCTCATCAGCGCAACACTATTGCACGGAGAGTTGTTCCCACAACACAGTGTGAAGTTCCCCGATACAGCGCTTGAAACAACCGTGGAGGCGTACCCCATGTTGAACAAGGCCAAGCTCAAAACCGAACTGTCCCTCATCTATGAGAACAGTGAGTTCAAGGCTTGTAGTGGTGCAGTGCCCCTGTACCAGTTCTTCATGGAGAACAACCTTCAGAGCACTTTCACAGAGACTGCCAGCCTCCTCAAGATCCTCATCACCACACCCATGACAACTGCTGAGTCAGAAAGGTGCTTCTCTACACTGAAAAGGATCAAGACCTTCCTGAGAAACAGCATGACACAGGATCGCCTGAACGCTCTGGCCATGCTCTCCATGGAGAAGAAACTTGTCAGGGACATTCCTGACTTTAATCAAAGGGTCATTGAGAGGTTTGCCACTCAGAAGGACAGACGGGCAAAATTCCTGTACAAATAAGATGACAGACACACACACACAGAGCAGCTCTGGCCGCATGTTTCTTTGTATATAGTTGACCTCAGCATAAAAAATCCAGTTATATATGGTACTCTAGAAAGTCTTAATAGTGTCTTTGCTAATATTACTGTATATATGTTGTTTTGTATCAATTAATTGTTGCAGTTCTGGAGCACATTAACAATTAGTCACATTTAGTATGATCATAAAATACTGTATGCTATTCTTCCAGTCAAAGGTTTGAGTTCATCCACTTGATATCCATTTCTATATTATACATCCTTTTATACAGTGTAAGATTTCCTATAAACTTTATAATAATTTCATGTTATTGTCCACTTTCCACTCTGTTCTGACAGCATGCCTGTTGCGTTGCCTGTTTACTACCAATGGTAAAAAGTTCACTTTAAATGCAAATGAAAGGCTTGGGTTTGTGTAATATGTTTTTGTGTAAGAATGCCTCAACTTTTTAATATTGGCATTAAATAATTACTGAATGTTTCACTGAGCACTGCTGTCCTGCAGTTTGTGTTAAAATATATCGCGATGGTTACAGGAAAAAAAAAGTATGGCACAGCCCCACCGAGAATATTTTTCACCAGCCGCCACTGCTAAAAGGGGTCCCTCGGATTTACTTACAGAATAATACGAAATGCTCTGAGACCAGGTTGTTCATACACAGGCCAGCAAGAAAGTAGTCTTATTTGACTGAATCTCCTAATGTATGCGACATGTGGATCTGGATTCGTCAATGCCCAATTTCAGTTGTGCAACTTGTGCTGTATCTTCTTTGGTCTGGCCCTGAAATAGACTGACAGTTCCATGTCAAGAAATCGGGGAGATGAGAGTTGAGAAACGCCCCTGACACGCATTCTATAAAGCGCTCCACACTCGATTCTGTCCTTTGATCTAAATTAGTATGAACAAGTAAAACTGTGGTTGTGAAATATCAAACGTAGGCCTACTGTTCTTGGCTAACATACATGCGGAAATAAATCAAGATCAATTTGATGGATAAAAGCCTAATCCTATTTGGTCCCAACATCAGGTCCATTATTCCGGTAACAGGAGTCTCTGTCAGTTGAGAAAAGGAAATACTGAGGTCCTCCTGTTGCAACTCTGTTCTGTTGACATTGCGGTTTATAAGCAGAGCTCAGCAGCGGTATGAAAACCACAACCGCCGCTACCATACAGTGGTTTATTCATCAGGGCCGTACTCATTACTCACACAATCCCACCGGCTGTGTCTCGAAACACACTGAGAACAGGTCTCAGAGCAGTGGCTCATTTGAATACTTGGTAAGTCTGGTTCAAGCAGGTCTGAGAACAGCGCAAGTGATAGTGTGCCATGCATTCAAGCAGTATAAACTGGTCAAACAGCCAAAGGGGTTTTAGTTTGCTCTTTGAGCAAAGGTATATATCATGGTTGAATCAAGAAGAGCTAAACAATATTGTATATTGTCAGTTTTGTCAGGCGTCAGAGGGACTCTTTGCCTTATACCTGGTAGCCTATTCCTCCATATTATGAGCAAACTATGGCCTCCGCCAAGAGGTCTAGACCTTTATGGCACAGGTATGATCTCGCCCTGTAATCACAGGCTCGCTACACTCTAAAAAGAAAATGTTCCTGGAGTATCCTTTAGGGGTTCTTCAAATAACCTTTTGGGGTTAAGTTTTGAACTACATTAGGGGTTCAACAAAGGTTCTTCTAAAGATCCTCAAAGTTCTTCGAAGAACCTTAGGTTTCTTGGCACTGAAAATGGCCCCCAAAAGGTTCTTCCAAGAATCCCATAAGGGGTGGGGTTAATTGGGGAACCTCCTTAGTTGGTGGGGGTTCTTGCAGGAACCTAACTGCCTAACAGAAACATTTATATTTGAAAGGGCAGCAGGTGCATGCACTTAACTGAAAAATGTAAAGCTCTCCTCAATGTAAGCAAAGGTTTGTCCCTTGTATGATCTAAATTGATATTGTTTTATGATGATACCATCTCTCTTTTCATATTTGTGCAAATCTTTCTAAAACAGAAAATGGACACAATTCAATGGATATCAATCAACAAAGATGTAAGAATATGTATGCTATAACAATGTGGAAGGCTAGCTGTATTGGGTGCAGATGACTAAACTGCTCACTTTTGTGTCTGTCTGCAGGTATACAGACGAGGAGGCATACAAAGATATGTCAATTAGTATTGGTATGTTATGCTGATCATATGTACCAATCTCCTCAATGAATATCCCATAGGCCTGTATGTGTACACTCTAAAAAGAAAAGGTTCCTGGAGTATCCTTTAGGGGTTCTTCAAATTGAAACTGTGGAGGAACCACTTTAAGTTCTTCAAAGAACCCCTTTTAAATGGATCCTCAAATAACCTTTTGGGGTAAAACAATTTACTACCCCCCCCCCCCCTCCCCCCTCCCCCCTCCCCCCCTATTATTATTAATAATAATAATTTTAGTTCAGTGTTTATAATTTTAGTGGCAAAGCAGAATAAAAAATCCAAATATGAGAAACTCCCAGCAGAGCCCCAAGTTCAATGGGTATATCCTCTCGAGTGTTGATGTTCTCCATATCCATAGCCAGATTGATTTCGCAGTGCATGATGATTGAACAGGTTTCCTGTTATATTCATCAGAGAATCCAAAAAAATAGTAATTATACAGATGATTAACAAAACATGCACACAACAGAATTCATACCTTGGTTTATGTGGTGAATGAAAATAACTGTTTTGATAATGGTTTTCATACACATACCTTGTCCATAATGTAGAGGCCTATGGGATTTTCATTGAAGAGGTAAGGGAGGAGGATAGTAAATGTGATCTACATAACATATCATATACCAATTGACATACCTTTGTATGCCTCCTCGTCTGTAAACCTGCAGACACAGACACAAAAGTGAGCAGTTCAGTCATCTGCACCCAATACAGCTAGACTTCAACATATTCTTATAGCCTACATAGTCTTACCTCTTTGTTGATTGATATCCATTGAATTGTGTCCATTTTCTGTTTCAGAAAGATTTGCACAAATATGAAAAGGTAGACGGTATCATCATAAAACAATATCAATTTAGATTATACAAGGGACAAACCTTACCTTACATTTTTCAGTTAAGTGCCTGCACCTGCTGTACTTTCAAATCCAAATGTTTCAGTTGGGCAGTTAGGTTCCTGCAAGAACCCCCACCAACTAAGGAGGTTCCTCGATGCACCCCTCCTCCTATGGGGTTCTTGGAAGAACCTTTTTCAGTGCCAAGAACCCTAAGGTTCTTCAAAGAACTTTGAGGATCTTAGAAGAACCCTTGTTGAACCCCTCATTTTTAGAGTGTAGTTCAAGCCTCTTTAAGTGAACAAGGTGTAAAGGTAGCTCTGATCACCTGTTGCCCACCTTGAGAAAAAATCTTTAATCAAAACCCAAATAGACATTTTCATGGTCAAGACGCTGACCTAATGGCACTTCAGTTGAGTAAGGACAGCAAGTTTCTTCCACAGATTCTACATAATTCCCCATTATTGCATAAGTGAATTCACCTGAGGACTGAACGGCCCACTCAGCACTATGTAGGCAGTATTTCAGTCAGAGACCATAATGTAATCGGATGGGAGGAGCAAACGCTATGCCTATGCCATTTTGAGAGGTTTGTTTAACACAGAACTCCTCCAATTTGTAAAGCCTCTTACTGCAAAGGGTCAAGTTCAGCTTAACATTTGGTCAAATCCCCCTCAAACTAGTTTCCCTGTTTGACATACTGCAATAGCAACTCTCGCAAAATATTATCTTAAAAAGGACATTGTTTACAATAAATGTTCTCACAAAATAAGGTTGAAAAACATTCAACCTCGGAGGGAAAGAAAGAAATAGTGCTGTTTCTAACAATCAAGAGCTGAGGATGTAGCCTCATAAGTGAGTCTATAGCGACATCTTCTGGTATTAAGTGAACTTGCTATAATATCACTGAAATAAAGTGCAACGATATTAGCATTACCTTGTTCGTTTACAGTCATCAAAAGGACATTATTAAATTCATGTACATCAACATGATTTGTTATGATAGAATCTCTGGAGTCTGCTTTGCATGATTACAACAAGGCTCTTAGGTAACCTTAAAAACAATCAAATCTACAGAGACTGGGATGTATGCATGCCAATTTACAAGTAAAACAAAATGATGCTTAAATGCAAAGAGGTGCAAAGGCAATGAGGAGCGAGACTCAGGTGTATTAGCTAAGGTGGAAATACTATCCTATGGGCTTTCTAGTCGCATACTAATGGCACACTAGGGAATGACAGTGACTTGAATGTTCCATACATAACACAACAACACAAGACTTCATAGTCAACAATAACTACACTGTAAACAGAGAGCAAAGGATTTAATTATTGTGCATTTTAAGTAATATAAAACAAAATATAAAAATAGCCGAACACCTCAAAATATGTATTCTGAAAATATAAGCCACTCATGTCTGTTCATTGTTTCTATTGTAGCTGGTATTATAAAAGCCTATTTAGAAAAAAAGCCCCATTGTTGTTGTTGTAGTGCAGAAGTTTAGTATCGACAGTATTGCTAGAAAATAATAGTTTTTATGGGTCAGGAGCAGGAAGGTGCTCTATAATGTAGAATGATGTACTCTAGAATGTCTACAAAGCTTTAAAGTTCTGGAACACTTCAGCCACCTCCAACCAGCTCCTGAAGCAGGCTAGGCCCTGGTCCCGGATCTGTTTCCTTCCCTTGTCTGTGATCACGTCTCCATTCTCCTTCACAATCACCAGTTTAGGGACCGCTGTGATATTGAATCTCTTCTTTAAGTCACTGAAGAGGAAGTGGAAGAGCACAGGGCATAACCATTACTTTTTCACTATATGGCTTATACCAGACAAAGGTTCACTTTTTATGAAGGCACAAAGGATTGTGTCATTCCGGAAACCAATTATTGGCGGGATGGCTGGTAGGTTGGTGTAGGTTAGCTACACACATTGCTCATAATTGACAGGCCGATTATCAATGAAATGGGTGAACATAACATTCAGACTATCAGAACACACGTTGTACAACACAAAATACAGGTCCCAATCTAGCAGAGGAATACAGTAAACTCCCTTGCTGAGCTCCAATCACTTGTCTCATCAGGCAGGTAGAGACATTGCCCTATTTTTAAACCTAATCCCTCAAAGGGTGACCCATAAACCTCTTACAAAGCCTGTTACTTACAATCGCTGTACTATGGCTAGACATTTACATTACATTTACATCATTTAGCAGACAGTGGAGGAAAGCATATAGTCCTAAGATCAGTTCAACCATGTTTTTGCACAAATGTTTGTCACTACTATCTCTTTACAATAACTCAAATGGTAATAGGCTACATGAAAGATGAGACAGTCATAAGAACTTACTGTTTGTATTGATCCGTCCAAGGCAGGACCAGCCAATCTCCGTGCATGTCATGATAATACTCCATCATATCATCATTCGACTTGTCAGAAGATATGAAAACGATTTCTAACTGTGCAGGTGGTTCGCTCTCCTCGACAAGTTCCGTGTAAAAATCGCATAGAATAGGGGTGAAATCTCGACAAGGCGGGCACCAGCCGGCAGAAAAATATATTCCCACTACTTTATTCATGAGAGCTTCTTCTGGGTCAATAAGATCCCCTTCTTTATTGAGGAGAGTTTTCCCAACAAATACCTCCACCATCGTTGGGTCAGACAACACGCGCAACAGTAACGAAATACGCAACTGTAGCCAAAATCAGTTCAGGCCGGTTACCGTTGTAGCTTTGCTCGCCGTGAACCGTTACTTTGGTCCAAGTGCAACACTGTCATCATTTTCAGTGTTCAATCACTATTTGAATCCCTTTAATACCTGTCATAACAAACCCTACCCACTGCTGTGTGGAGCTTGTTGCTGTTGTTTAGCTAAAAAAGCCCATTTGATTGACATCTTGCGAGGCCAATCAGTGTCCTCTTCTGCTTCTTCTTCTTCAATTAGGTTTAACGGCGGTTGGCATCCAATTTGTTGCATTACCGCCACCTACCAGACTGGAGTACAACTCCCTTATATTTTGCTTGAAAATTAAAATAAAATAAAGAAATACCCTACCATCTAACACTACACTCACAAATTCAAAATAATTATTAATAATTAACACCACCCTTCTCCACTATTTACATATATTCATTCCTACATCATGCCCTCAACCTGAAATGATGGGACATCACCACTTAACACTCCCTGTAACTCTTCTGATGTCAAGTCTCGCACACCCAAATACCTCTCTGCAGCTGCCACCACAACCTCAATTTTCTTTGACCTCCATCCCTGCAGTACAATTAATAACCATTGCTATAAATGCTAAAAATCCAATCTTACTGAAACGTATATCACTTGTTGGCCTATCCCTCTGTTCTGGTACATATCTACCACTCCCCACCCCTTGACCCCTCTTCCTCTACTTTCTTCACTGCCTCAACATATGACAACTTCTTCTCTTACCCTGGAAACCTCAACCTGTTTCTCTCGCACAGGACATTTCTGATCCCCAGCCCCATGGCCACACCTACAATTAGCACATACCACTACTTTCCCCAATGCTACACATTCCTTTGTCTCATGCCCTTCTGCACACTTATCACACCTTGGAACCTCTCTCCTACATACTGCTGCCACATGCTCATAAGTTTGACACCTGTAACATTGTAATGTATTCGGCACATAAGCTCGTACAGGATAACTTATATATCCTAACTTCACTTTGTCAGGCAAAGACTCAACTTCAAAACTCAAAGGAACAGACAATGACTGTTCTGTTTCCCCACTCTCGCCACCCTGTTTGCGTTGCACCAAACGACGAGCATCACAAACACCGGGAATCTTCCCCTTCAGTTGGTCCACTTTTACATTTACTGCTACCCCAGTAAACACTCTTTTCAATGGCACCCTTTTCTTGAGAGCGAAACAATTAACAATTATTTCCCCCATTTGTTTAACTCTGAGCGCCTTCTCCCTCTGCCCAACAGAAACACAAACAATTATCACTAGACCACTTCTGGTTACCCTCACCGATTCCACTATAACCAACGCTTTTTTCACCCATCTTGAAACCACAAATGGATCAGCCAAAAGGCAAGGGTCCACTTTTTCCAAAAACTTCACTCCTACTGTCACAGACTCATCTTTATCCTGACCCTCTGTGCAAGCCTCTGGCTCCGAGTACTAAACCACACATAACAGCTCCGATACTTCACCCTCATTCACTTCCATTTCTCCTCCTGTCTTCAGCTCACTTTACTTACATTTCCTACCATTCTTCTTCACCAAACCTTCTCCCTTTTTCCCGCCATTTCTTCCAGACTCAAGCTCACAATCTTCCTCCCTCTCTCTCTTAGACCTCCCCTGCCTCTTTTTTCTTCCATTCCTCCTCCGTCATCCAAGTATACATCTCCTTATCCCACAGCTGTCTGTTAGACATCGTTTTTCCTCCACAGGACTACGGATACTCCGGACATCTCTTTTTCCTGAAGTCCGCCGGACTTCGTCGCTGCTTTGAACCAATTACAATCACCGATTTCGTCTTCTTTGCTGGAAATCCTCTGCTTGTTCTTCTGAGTTTCCTGTATCATCAGTGTCCTCAGTCCTCTACAGAACTATTTAAAGGTACAATCAGTAATATTTACACAATACAAATAGCCTCATGACTATTACATATTATCTATTAAGAGTATGAAGGGAGTAAACTTATGTAAGATAAATACCAAAGTCTGGCATCCCTAAAAGGAGAGAAACCACAAAGAGAGAAACCAACATACAACTTCACATAAAGTTTTAATTTTTTCAAATGTTATATGGATACTAATTATTAAAAGTACATGTTTTTAAATGTGTGCACACCTCTAAATGCAAATTAAATTAACTATCTACATTCTTCAGAACAATAAAAGATGACACGGTCAAATAGAAGCCAAGTAGACAACAACGAACATGAAGAATCAACTATACAGTACATGTATCTGCAACCATCCAATTGCACTGTATTTTACAAAGTTATTAAAGAGCAACATCATCTAAAAGGGGCCATATAAATCATATAGTTTCTTTTTTTTTTAACACAATTAAGTGTAAGTGAAAACCCTAATTATACTTTCTGAACAAAAATATAAACTCAACATGTAAAGTGTTGATCCCATGTTTCATGAGCTGAAATAAAAGATCCCAGAAATGTTCCATGGACTGCCAGATGGTGAAGCGTGATTCGTCACTCCAGAGAATGCATTTCCACTGCTCCAGAGTGCAATAGCGGCAAGCTTTACACCACTCCAGCCAACGCTTGGCATTGCGCATGGTTATCTTAGGCTTGTGTGCGGCTGCTTGGCCATGGAAACCAATTTCATGAAGCTCCTAACAAACAGTTATTGTGCTGACCTTGCTTCCAGAGGCAGTTTGGAACTCAGTACTGAGTGTTGCAACCAAGGACAGCCGATTATTACGCGCATCAGCACTCGCCAGTCCCATTCTGTGAGCTTGTGTGGCCTACCACTTTGCGGCTGAGCCGTTGTTGCTCCTAGACGTTTCCAATTCACAATAACAGCACTTACAGTTGACTGGGGATGCTCTAGCATGGCAGAAAATTTACGAACTGACTTGTTCACTTGCCACATTGAAAGTCACTGAGCTCTTCAGTACGGGCCATTCTACTGCCAGTGTTTGTCTATGGAGATTGATTGGCTTTGTCCTCTATTTTATACACCTGTCAGCAACGGGTGTGGAAGAAATAGCTGAATCCACTCATTTGAAGGGGTGTCCACATACATGTAGTGTATTTTTCTCTCAAAAACATCTACGTACATTATTTATTCTTCGGATATGTAACTAAGATGTGCTACCTACGTTATACACCCACACACATGCATACACTTACACACTATATATATATTATATATATATATACACACTATATTTATATATCAACATTTCCCCACCCCTACCAATTTTATAAGGCCTTTTTCTTTTGAGTTCATATTTTCATTGTGACACTCAAAAGAGATACATATAAGTATTTTCGGACATCAGTTTTATATGTGAAAGATATGATCCCTCAAATGCTGTGTAACACTGCCACCCAGCGGCCCTTCTGTTGGCACCACGTACAACACCAGTGAGTTTGATCCTATAGCGGGTCAGGGTAAAAAATGAAATACACAAAATTACTTCGTTTTTCTTTAGAAATGCAAAAAAGGGAACATCACAATAAGCAACACATTGAACATATCATAGAAAAACTTCAATCAAATGAGAGATACACACATGCATCTCATTTCTCACACTAACTTCCACTTACAGTTCTACTGCTTTCGCTACTCATGCAAAAAGAATGGTCTGTTTTTCCATCGTCTTAAAAAAAAATCCCACAATGAACTGACATCAAACACAGTACAATACTACAGTAGGTAAGTGTGAAAGGCCAGTCCATCGAACACTTCCAATTGTTTTCTGAAGGCGACATCTTGCATAAAACACAAGTTTTGCAGGTTATAGAAGATACTTGTGTGTAGCTTTTCTGATATAGAGGGGCTTTGTACTGTACAGGGTCCTAAAATTATAATCCTTATTATAACCGATATACATATTCTCTCAGGTTTTTCTATCCATCTCTAAAGCTACCATTCAGTCATACTTTGTGTATAACCTAGACTAAGCATTAGTTACTCCTCTAACAGAGGGACTTCATCTCAAATCAGTCACAACAGCTGATCTGTTCTGTTACTACACAGAATACTGTAAAGAACAGTACTACCTCTCTTCAGAGACTGCATCTGTGCATTTGGACATACACTGCTTCAGTGTCATGGAGGGCATGGAGAAACAGCAGTAAGGGTGGAGTGGAGTGTTCGGGGTTACGTCACATGGAACGTTTACGTTACTATGGTAATTAACAACATCTGTATCTTAGATGTTCTAGACCACTTAGTTGCCCACTGTTTCTCTGACAACCGCTGTAACGTTCCTAAAAGGAGCATACTAAGGTCATCTGGTGGAACATGTAGTTTGGTTACACACGCACAAACACGCACTCTCTCTCTCTCTCTCTCTCTCATACACACACACACAGCAAATAATAATCTATTTCAAGGCGAGTAACCTCTAGTACAATATTTCATGCGCTCCATAAAGTGGGTGTTGCATTGAATACTTATTGTGAATTAACAGTTGTGTGAAAATGTTTTGAAAATCACTTTAGTATTGTTGTAGTGGTACTGCTGAATTTAGAACACTTTTGAGGAGCTGGTGTGGAATTTTGACTTTAAATAATTTGCTTACTTTGCAGTGCTTTTACCATACCGTCTTCCGTTTTTAAAAGGCATGAGAAAACAGTTTACTAAAATGTTACTATGACAATTAAACAGAAAGTGTGTTTAACACAGAGGTGAAGAAGAATGTGATGATTCTAAGTAATGTATGACAAGTAAAAAAGTCACGAAAATAGAAATCGTGTTTGATTTTCCCAACAAAACAAACTGTTGTAAACATCTGAATACAAGAACGACAATAAACAATTATTATCTGAATAATTATTGCTGTTATTATGATTGAATAATGAATGATAAGGGTAGAGGGATTTGGCAAGGCATATTAAACAAACTGTCTCTGGACAACAGATTAATGCTCTCACTGGTTAACCATTTTGAATAGTGTTTGTTGAGATGATCAACATATAATTGTCATTAAAGACAAAAAAACATAAACAAACAAGTGCTCTTAAATCCTCTGTTTTCTATGAAGACTTTTTGAAATTAGTGCTTTGATAGAACTAAATCTGCATCAGTATTAAACTATCATTTTTAATGAATATACATTAAATACAGTATAAAGTAAACAATGGAAATGTTTGAATTAAAGGGATACTTCAGGATTATGGCAATGATATCCAGTCATTATGCTAATGCTAGTTAACAATTACACTAGCGCTAGTTAGCAACTTCCTTCAAACTGCATGCAGAGACATACAAATGGTATCCACGACTTCATCTGACTCTGGGGAAGTAGATAAAGGGCATCATTGCCAAAATCCTGAAGTATCCCTTTAAAACAATGGTCATCTCCCTCTCATAACTTACACACATTTCTTTGCTCACTGCATATGTTGTTGCATATCTTTTAACATTACAAAGAAACAAATATAATCATAGTCAGGGTTTGAATGATTCTCCGAAACTGAAACAAACCCAAGTACTGTAGTTACTGACCTCTGTATGATAGGGGGACTCCAGAACTGCATGTAAAAATGTTTTTTACACAGAGCTCATTCACTCACACACACATACATAGGAGATACATTACTATGACTGGTTTGGTCATCAAATCATTGAAAAAATCTAATGAGATGCCAACTAACTTTATATGCAGTGTGCAAATATAATGCTTGATATCTTTTCCCTGTCCCTTCCCTTACAAAGAGATTGATGGGATGTATCCTTAGGATCACTCAACTACAGGGGATAGACAGTTGAAAAACAAATTGTGGCCACTAACTCAGTTGCACAGTGCCCCCTTTTTCTCCTCTGACTAGAACCATCAGAGATGCTTCACGAGTAGAAATCCAAAGGCTTCAGTGAAATATCCAATCCAGCTGTCCGTCTGTCACATCTCAAAGAAGTAGTTACATGAAACGCTCAAGAGATATTTTGGGAAAATTGGTGGATAAGATAAGGTTTCATGTGGTGATGGTGGTGGTTGATCGTCTTTCCTGCATGGTAGAGTTCTTCACAACTTCCGCATCCATCGTTAACTCCCCAGACAGGCCTCCTGTCCTCTGGGCCCAGTGACCTAGTACCCTTTTCACACTACCGTACTGACCCGAACCAGGCTGTACTGGCTCGCTCTGATATATTTTTTCCACATAAACCTTTTCACCTATGGTGGATGGACACGTAAACAGACCAGCACTGCTTGATTTGGCTTGGTAGTGTGAAAAAGGGTCAAGGGTCAAAGGTGGCCTTTAGGAGGTCTTGACCAGGTCGTAGACGTAGATGTGGAAGTCGTCGTCAAACTTGATGAAGTATACAGAGGGTTTGGCCTCCACCTGGTGGATGACCATGCCAGCTCGTTTGGAGCCATCCTCTTTAGCGTACTCCACTTGTTTCCCCACCAGACTGTCCACCACCTCTCCCGGCTCCCGCTCCGCAGGCGGAGTGTCATCTAAGAAACAAACAATAACTCAAGTTTAAGTTTATTTGCCATATGTAATTAATTTATGGGAAATCACATTGGAAACTCAAAAATGTTTACCAATCTATTTATTCAATCTGGTTAATCTCTTTATCAAGAGAGACCTGGACAATGAAGAACATAAATATTTTATAATGAAGAGAGAGTTTCCTGTTATCATTATGAAAAGCAACCTTCAGGAGAGTATAGAGACATTATAAAGGCTCATACATGCTTATAAAATGTTAATACACTCGTACACATATCTTAGCTTTAAGCAGTCTTACAATCAAGAGAGTGGCCTATTGTCATTTTGAAGTGCAGCCTAACTCTAAGGACAGGACTAACTTGAGTCAGGCATGATCCTCAGGTCTCCCTCCTTGTAGTCGTCTAGGAGTTGGTACATGTACAGGACGGGATCCTTCTCGTAGGTGATGAAGAACCAGGTATTCATAATGGGGGCCCGGGCCAGAACCATGCCCCTCCACTCGTCTTTAGTTCCGTCCTCCGTCTCAAACATGTGCTCCACTGCCTTCCCTATCATTGTGTCAGCCAGGTTGACGTCGCTGATGCGCTTAGAGGCTGCAACAGAGTACATGGTACAGGGTACATGGTAACATCAAGTTTCAAGTTTATTTGCCATGTTTAACTTATAAATTGGAAATGTTACTAACTTGTGAATATCAACGATCATTAAACTCACAATTGATATTAACATTTTAGGAGCACCATGAACATGTAACACCATTACAGCACAAACCAAAACTTGTTTGCGACTTTGCGTTATCAATCATTTCCAAATGACAATCAATATAAACAATGTGTACATAGACCAAGTCCTTACATTGACGGTCAGGGAGCACCTCGAGGCCCTGTACCCTCTCATCTTTATGCAGCTCCAGGCCGTAGACGCAGTCAAAGCCGTCGTACTTGATGAGGTAAAGCGAGGGGTTGACAGGCACCTGGTCTAGCACCGTGCCTTTCCACTGCGACTGAGATGTAGTGCTCCCCTCCTTCCAGATGTGCTGGATACGACAGCCCACGATGTTCCGCCGCGGCGCCGACGACACCGCCTGGTTGGGGCCCATGCTGTTCTTTTGTTTCCTGAACGATGTTTCAGATAACTTATGAAAAAGGGGGATTCGGGGAACAAACATCCACTTAGCCAATGAAAAGGGGGAAAACCTTCTGATGGCTGTCAGTCCCTTACATTAGCTGCTAATCTAGCTAGATCCATTTTATAGTACATCAAATAGAATAAAATATTGAATTGATTAAATATATACAGTGCATTCGGAAAGTATTCAGACTTTTTCCAAATGTTGTTACGTTACAGCCTTATTCTAAATTGGATTAAATTGTTTAGTTTTTTCACTCATCAATCTACACACAATACCCTATAATGACAAAGCGAAAACAGGTTTTTAGAAATTTTGGCAAGTGTATATAAAATAAAAAACGGAAATATCACATTTACATAAGTATTCAGACCCTTTACTCAGTACTTTGTTGAAGCACCTTTGGCAGCGATTACAGCCTCAAGTCTTCTTGGGTATGACGCTACAAGCTTGGCACACCTGTATTTGTGGAGTTCCTCCCATTCTTCTCTGTAGATCCTCTCAAGCTCTGTCAGGTTGGCTGGGGAGCGTCACTGCACAGCTATTTTCAGGTCTCTCCAGAGATGTTTGATCAGGTTTAAGTCCAGGCTCTGGCTGGGCCACTCAAGGACATTCAGAGACTTGTTACGAAGCATGAAGTCCTGAGTGCTCTGGAGCAGGTTTTCATCAAGGGTCTCTCTGCACGTTGCTCCATTAATCTTTCCCTCGATCCTGACTAGTACTCCCAGTCCCTGCCGCTGAAAAACATCCCCACAGCATGATGTTGCCACCACCATGCTTCACTGTAGCGATGGTGCCAGGTTTCCTCCAGACGTGACGCTTGGCCTTCAGGCCAAAGAGATCAATCTTGGTTTCATCAGACCAGAGAATCTTGTTTCTCATGGTCTGAGTCTTTAGGTGCCTTTTGGCAAACTCCAAGCGGGCTGTCATGTGCCTTTTACTGAGGAGTGGCTTCCGTCTGGCCACTCTACCATTAAAGGCCTGATTGGTGGAGTGCTGCAGAGATGGTTGTCCTTCTGGAAGGTTCTCCCATCTCCACAGAGGAACTCTGGAGCTCTTTCATAGTGACCATCGGGTTCTTGGTCACCTCCCTGACCAAGGCCCTTCTCCCCCGATTGCTCAGTTTGGCTGGGAGGCCAGCTCTAGGAAGAGTCTTGGTGATTCTAAACTTCTTCCATTTAAGAATGATGGAGGCCACTGTGTTCTTGGGGACCTTCAATGCTGCAGAAATATTTTGGTACCCTTCCCCAGATCTGTGCCTCGACACAATCCTGTCTCGGAGCTCTACAGACAATTCCTTTGACCTCATGGTTTGGTTTTTGCTCTGACATGCACAGTCAACGGTGGGACCTTATATAGACAGGTGTGTGCCTTTCCAAATCATGTCCAATCAATTGAATTTACCACAGGTGGACTCCAAGCAAGTTGTAGAATCCTCTCAAGGATGACCAATGGAAACAGGATGCACCTGAGCTCAATTTCGAGTCTCATAGAAAGGGTCTGAATACTTATGTAAATAAGGTATTTCTTGTTATTATTTGTAATAAATTTGCAAACATTTCTAAAAACGTGTTTTCGCTTTGTCATAATAAAGTGTGTAGATTGATGAGGAAAAAATTAACAAAATGTGGGAAAAGTCAAGGGGTCTGAATATTTTCCAAATGCACTGTAGCACATGGCAATATAATACAGTCAAGTGTGTACTCTTATCTGCTTTCTTTTGTTCCCTGGATCTGTCTACATGAGACCCATAAAGGTTGTGTACTTTGAAGTGTGAATATAGTACTGACCATTTTAGTGTTTCCCTGCACAGCGGATACTAGCTCTGTATTCACTTCAGCAGGCCACTAAAGACCAGTATCAGATATCAGGTATTCAGCGTGGCACTACTAGACTAAATAATTAACGTATCTAACCAAGCACCGCTGTTCTCTACTTGGGCAAAAGCAGGCTGCAGATGGTTTTAGCCGTTCATTTAATAGGCCTACTACACAAAATGTATATTCAGAACAGTTGAATGCTGAATGTTTTACAAATGCACAATCACAAAGGGTACATAATAGCTAAGGTAAGTACAGGATTCCTGGCTTACTTGTGGGAGTTCTTTTTCTTCATATTTGCAGAAACACCTGCGTGCCCTTAAAAACAAAAACATAACAAATGTTCTTCTAATGCAAATGAATGTAGTAAATATATTCTGTAGCTAGCCTACTCTACTCTTATCAGTAGGCTAAATGTACCTGATTATCATCTGAAGATAACAAAAGTAAACCACAAAGCATGTGTCCCCCAAATGGCACCCTATTCCCTATTACAGGCCTATCGAGCACTATGTTTGACCAAAGCCTCTAAGGGCCTTGGTCCAAATAAGTGCACTATTAAGGAAACAACAGTAGTGCAATATAAAGGGAATAGGTGTCCTCCAGCGTCATCCGGGCTCCATCCTGAAACCCACAAGGCAGGCAAAAGGAAAAAAGGTTGCCCGAGAAACACCTGGAGGCGGGAGCTTGAGGCAGATACAAAGAGAACCGGCTTGGAGTGGAACGAGCTGGAGAAGACTGCCCAGAAAAGAGTAGTGTTGTCACGATACCAGAAGTTTGACTTCGATACCAGGTTAAGTATCATGCTACTTAGTACCATCACGACACTCGATACCAAAACAATACCACGGCAAAAAAATCCCTGCTAAAGTCACAGAATGGCACTTGATCCAGACAGATCTTTTGAGTTCAATATCATTACATTTTACATGTCCATCTTTTTTCAGAGACAGTCATGTATTCATTAATGAATCAATTACATAAATCACTTACTTTGTTTTTACCAATCCAACATAATGGTAATCCTTTATTTGAATGGTAAATCTCTATTGATAAAATGGGTAAATCAAAATGTAGCCTAGGCCTATTCACAATACAGGTGAATACATATTCAATAGGAGTGTGTGCATGCATTGAGTTATTGATCTTGTTTTGGCTGATTTCATGGGGCTACAGAAAACCTATCTGTTTCCCTTCCATTTGGGGCTTTTAAAAAATATTGTACTGATTAGGAATGTGCATCTTTCCCTTTCAAGTCGATTCAATACGTATATATTGATACATGGGCTCCGATACAGGAATGATACGTTTTAGCTTGAAATTATTAGTTGCGACTCAGTTTCATTACAGGAACGAATCGATGAGATTTGGTGCGAAACGATGCTCTTACATTTGTTGCATAAACACATTTATTTTCCGTTCTAAATTCAAATCTGCTGTTGATGGAGCTCATTAGTTGGGCCTGTGAGCTGGATCTGTCTGAGCTGACTTCTCTGTCTGTGTGCGTGTAAATTATGTATACCGTAATTTATTATGTAATTATGTATGCTTTTTTTCTCCCCCCACTTCTGGTGATTTCACATCTGAAATCACCATCACCCACTTGTCATTTTTCCAGATCAAAAGCGTTTGAGCTAGTAATGTATCAATATTTATCTTTAAAAAATTGCTATGACAGCTATGACAATGAATACTGAATATAGCACAACGTATCAAAATGAATGTTTTTGATTGTTTGGTAGTGTTTAGGGAGTGAGCTTCTCCTGCTTCAACCATGCATTGCCGCTGGCAAAAGTGATTGCTGTCCTCATTATGAAATAATAAACATTCATAATGAGGACAACTCTAAAAATGACCATATATACTGATTGTTTAATGCTTTAACTGCCACACCAAGACAAAATATCAACAACAACAAATTCTGAAAAATGTGTATTTAGCCTCAGTATAGGCCATAAATGAAGATTTTACATTATTTAAACTTTGATAGATAATGCATCTTAAAGCATTTCGCTACACCCGCAATAACATCTGCTAAATATGTGTATGTGACCAATAAAATTGGATTAGAAATATCTCAACCAGCTAGTTGAGTTGCCCAATTAGACTAAACTAATTTTGTATTGGAATTTTTTAAAATTATTACATTTCTGCTTCATTTACTAATAATGGAAGATAAGTCTAGTTAAAGAAGGTCTAATATCAAATATTAATAAAATTATACCTTTGTGTGTCAAAATAGGAATATTAAAATACATGTAAATTCATGCGTTTACAGTTTATATGCTTAGAAAACCAGTCAAATTAAAATGTGCTGAATGATATTGTGAAACATATTGTAGATAACAGGCAGACAGTAAATAATTATATGGATTTGAAAATATTGTTTTTTATTTGCACAGACAAAGAAATCCCATAATATTTATCCATTGTCCATTAACACTAGCTTTGACTTAATAGCATTCCTTTAATGGGCAACTAAACCGCCTGGTTGAGCATATTTTTCAAGAGTTCCTAAAATTGTTAAACAAAACTATATTAGTAATTTAATCATTCTCAAATTATGTTTTAGGGGTCAACAACGTGTTACAACCTTATATATTTCCCATTTTATACACAATTAGTACAAACAAATTGTTGTAAATGAGGTTCGGTTTTGTTCACGTTCACTTCCTGGTTTTCAACGATCTTTGAATGCGTGTTTCAAAAAATATGAGAGTCCTATAATGAAAACCAATTTGTGAGTCGCTCTGGCTAAGAGCGTCTGCTAAATGACGTTAATGTGCCCTTGAGCAAGGCACTTAACCCTAATTGCTCCTGTAAGTCGCTCTGGTTAAGAGCGTCTGCTAAATGACTAAAATGTAATGTAATGTAATGTAAAACCACATGACCATTTTACTAAATGGTATTGGTTAAGATTATAAAATATGCCAAACAAAAATCATATGTTTAATTGCTTTAACCCAGCTCAAACCGCCCAGTTCAATGGGGTTTAAGCAAAACTACCAAAACTATTGCTGATGGTGAACCTGAACAATCGAAATTAAATCTAATTTCAGCAGGTGCCTTCAGAAAGTATTCACACCCATTTACTTTTTCCACATTTTCTGTTAAGGTGGAATTAAAATAGATTTAATTGTAATTTTTTGTCAACGATCTACACAAAATACTCTGTCAAAGTGGAAGAAAAATCCAAACATTTGTAAAAAAAAAAAAAAT